CAATCGTGTACGCGCTGATCACTCCGCTCTCTTGCACAGCGCGAGCGTGTTGCCGTCGTTCAAACTCATGATTGCCGGCGAGCTAAAAGTCTGTGCTCATGACGGAGAACCGTAAATCGCCAATTCTCGAGGGACACCTGCTCATAAAACAAAGAGGTAAAGGGAAAAAGACCGATGACGATAAACAATCTTGTCTTGTCAGCCCATTGTAGCCGCATGACATGTTGATAAAATGTCACGCCCTCTGCTAAGCAACAATTGAAACCTGCTAATTCACTGGCTTGTCATTTGCTGAAATAATGTACTAGCTCACCTTATCTAGCATTACATATCACTAGAATAATTACTTACATACTGTAGTTACGTTAGTTACCGTTATATTAACGTTATCTTACTAGCTATTTATAACTTATAGAAAGAGTGCAACATAAAGTTACATGTATTGGAAAATACATAAGGACTTGAGGACCAAGTTTGTAGTCAAAGTATTGGCAGGCCATAGTCAATGTAAAGCATATTGTTGACGTTTAGTCCCCATTAGTGATTGTGCCATATAACTTTTTATCCGCCGTCATCGGTGGCCCTGTTTACTAGCCTACACGTTCACGGCCGGCACTGCTGTGGGGGACGAGCTGTGGAGGGAGGGCTGTAGAGCAGCAGAGTCCAAGGGGGTGGGACCTGTAAGTTGTGCTTGTTCAAATTTTCAGACTAAGTCAACGTTTTCTCAAAACTCCCTACTGCAGATTTAAGGACAGCACACTTTTATAACCCAATGCTACGAAGCAAATTGAAATTTGCTACTATGATGACATGCAAGCACACACCCACAAAAATGTTTGTTTTCAATGTTACATTACTTTCACCTTGGTGAAATTGTGTATTAGTGTGAGAAGTGAGATGTGTATTAGTGCAGGTTTGACCTGTTAGTGCAGAGATCATAAGGTGCAGATACAATGTATTACTTACTCTTCTCTGATGACAGCCACCCTCCATTTACTGACAGTGGAAATAAATGAGTATCATACAACAAATTGACCCCCAAACATTAATTTGGAACATTCTCTTCATCCCCATTCACCTTGCCTGTTTGGTACTGCTTTCCTCATCTGAGCATTTTTAAAGGATATCATGATGTGAAATCCAACATAAAGGGACAGTAATGCAGTTAATATTTCTCTCTTAAGCATACAAAGTGGAACCCAAATGATATATGGTTTTAGGTTTTTTTTTTTTTTAATAAACAGCATTTTTGGCCATATTTTGTCTAATTACCACAAGAAATCGAAGGCTAAATTAAAAAAATAAAATAAAAATAAAATATTTACAAACATGCCCAGTGTTAATAAAACAATTATGAATTATTCAACAACATTTACGTATTAAACAAACAAAATATGACAATTTGAAGAAAACAAGAAAAAGCAAACTAACTGAAATTACAACATCAAATTGTATGTTCGTGTCATCTCTTGGCAGTTCTTGTTCTGAGTTTTCTCTTTATTATGAGATGATCACTCTCTTTATCATCTTCACAGCTTCCATTGACCTGTAAATTTTTTTAATGAATTTAATGAACACCCATCTGGCATTTCTGCAGTTTTATGTTTTTACAAACAAACGTAATACTGTACCTCCATCCCACAAAAACACATCTCAAATGAAATAATTAATCAAATTTCTTCTACTCAAACTGAACATTCAACAAAGCCTTAGAACTTACTGCTTTAAATACTCAAAAAGTTTAAAATAATCAAGCTCATAGTTAAACTCATGGAAGAATAATACTTAATAAATATAAATGAAATTACAAATGGAAGGTGGCACAATGGAGGTTTATTTTTTAAGTATATTTTTAAGTATAATGTTAACGTTTCAATATAGTGTGAAACATTTCACCAATTATTGATTACATATCTTTTTAATGTTTAATAAATCTAGTGCCCAGTATAATAAAGGGTTAGTTCAACCAAAACTGAAAATTATGTCATTAATGAATCACCCTCATGTCGTTCCAAGCCCGTAAGACGGAGACGGAGACCGTAAGTTCGGAACACAGTTTAAGATATTTTAGATTTAGTCCGAGAGCTTTCTGTCCCTCCATTGAACATGTGCAAACGGTATACTGTCCTTGTCCAGAAAGGAAATAAAGACATCATCAGAATAGTCCATGTGACATCAGTGGGTTAGTTAGAATGTTTTGAAGCATTGAGAATACATTTTGGTTAGGGATGTCAACGATTAATCAATTATCGATTAATTGTCGATAATACATTAATCGATCAAAGTATCGATCATCGAATAATCAGGTCTATGCGCGTGCCTGCTGCTCAACCGCGAAACATGTAAGCGAGTGCGCAGGAGTTATGTTTGAGACTTCATCATGACTACGTTTGCGTGTGTATTCGCAGCCTTTTGTTTTATGCAAATGTAGTTGTAATAGTTTAGTATGTGTACGTCTATATCTGATTTATCTCATATTGGATGCATTTAGCTAAGAATTGAAGCGTGATCTTTAACGCGCGCAGTTCAAACGGCAATGTATGACTAATGACGACTATTGGGAGTAGAGCCCGACCGATAAAGGATTTTGAAGGCCGATACCGATAGAAATATTTTTTGGGTTTTAAAATCCGATATGCCGATATATCAGCCGATATTTTTTTCCGAAACGCGCAACAAAACATTAACAGATTTCCTTAACATAAGTTATTTGCAGTTATTTATGAGTTAACTAAAATATTATGATCATGCATTTTAAAAAGAAACTTTTTTCTTTTATTGTCACAATAGAACAGACTGATGATAGTGATTAGTGATTAGCTAGTCTATGATGAGCCATAATTTAGCAATGGATGACGTCATACAACAAATTGTAAAACATACATTTTAAATATAACAGGCCAAGGAGAGATGATACGTCTCATTGCTATAACTGTCACGCGAAAAGAAATACTTCAGTCATATTGTAAAAATTTAAAAGGACAGTCAGTCAACTACACTTTAAAGTAACGTAATTATTAAACTAATTCTGCTTCACTCTTGGCTTATTTAACAGAAGCAAAACTGGACATGATAGTCTGATGGGGATGTTCTTTTAATTGTTATTCAAGCAATGTATGCCTCGTGACCAACTCAACGAGTGTTGCCAACAGGAATGATAAAGCGTGCCCTCTGGTGGACAAACTATACAACTCCAACACTCATGACATGGTTCAAGCGTGTTTCGTCCATTTTTATTTTATTTTTGAAATATTCATTTATCGGCCATTATAACTGCCGATACCGATAGTTTGGAAAGTGCCTAATATCGGCCGATAATATCGGCATGCCGATATATCGGTCTGGCTCTAATTGGGAGTGTCATATTACATAACATCATAAAGAGAACAATATTGTAATAAAACGTGGTGAATAATTTGGGTTTAGTTGCCCTGTCGCGTTGTTCCAGGAAGAGCGGGTGCACAACATTCAGTCATTCTGAATGGCACGTAACTTGGTTCAAGTTAACTTGTGCATTCACGTCATTTTGAAGATATTATTTGTAATATTATGTTCATTTTGTATATATCTGACTAATCTCATATCGGTTGTGTTTCTTTGATTTAAATAACGAAAATGCTCAGCGGTTTCAGCATGCGCTGCTCAAGCAGCAATGCACTAATAATAACGATGATTAATTTGTGACTGTCATATTAGATAACATCAGAACACTATTTTATTAAATCGTTGTGAATTCATTGGGTTTGGTTGCTGTTTTCAGTGCGCATCCACAACACATTCTGACAAGCACGCATCTGAGGCGGCGTTGGTGACATGTTGTATATTGATTATTAAATAATTCAATTAATTAAATTATTTATAATATTGTAACATTTTACAATCCTACTAGAACGAGGGGGGTTATAAGTGCTGCTCCTGTAAATGTTTCAAGTTTTTCATACAAGTAGTTTACCAGATAGATTATTATGTAATATATTAAGGCTAAGCCTGCCCATATGGATTTTTATTAACATTTATTTTATCTTGCTTAATGTTTAAATAAATTATTTTGTTAAACTACATAAATGCCATTCTGTACCATATCCCAACTGTTACAATAAAACATCATTTGAGCAATGTAACATGCATCATTTTTATTCAGTATATAAGCAATATTTTGCTTTTTATGTTGAAGACACTATTGATACAGTGAGAAATGTACATTCTCAGGAAAATAGCCGCTTATCAGTTAATCGATCGATAAGGTCAATCAATTAATGATTAATGAATTAATCGATAATTTGCATCCCTAATTTTGGTCCAAAAATAACAAAAACTACGACTTTATTCAGCATTCTATTGTCTTCCGGTTCTGTTGTCAATCCGTGTTCAGTGATGCTGCTGACGTGTATCTGGTGGTTCAATATAAAATATCTTAAACTGTGTTCCGAAGATGAACAGAGGTCTTACAGGTTTGGAACGACATAAGGATGAGTGATGACATCATT